GAGGCGAGCGGCTTGTCCTTGGCGCACGTTGCTGGCGATCCCGACGCTGTTAGTGGCGACGACAGAGGCGTAGTGATCTCGGAGAAGTCGGCCCGGGGGCCGTTCACCAGAATCATCTCGCAGGTATCTTCTTGGTGGTCGTCGAGGACGGCGACCTGGTACGTGCCGGCCTTGTCCGTCACCGCCTCCTCCGTGTGGACGACCTCGCCGGTGGTGTAATTCCTGCATTCTAACCTCACCTAATTGGCACCCTCGATGTACTCGGTGGCGTTGGTCTCGAAGCCAGCACGGCAAGTGTCGCAGTACACGCGGCGCGGCCTTCCACGACGACGTTGGCGGTGGAGATGCAGCAGCCGATGAGGCTGAGGAAGGCCGAGAAGATGCAAAGCGCACGGAGACCGCTTGCCACGGTGGAGAGGGAGGGAGGTAGAAGAAGAAGATGAGAGAATGACAAGAGAAGAGAGGAGCCCTTAAATAGTGGATGAAGATGTAATGGTGGTGGAGGTGGATTCGGACAATGGATGGCGGATGACTTGGTCTACAAGCACATAGAAATGAGCCACATATATACATTGTTATTGCACATATATATATATATATATATATATATAGGTCTACAAGCACATAGAAATGAGCCACATATATACATTGTTATTGCACATATATATATTTCAAAAGCCTCACTGAGACCTTGCTTTCTCCTTGGAGTTGGATCTCGCCTTGATCAGATTGTTGAGAACCTTCACGTACCTGTTCAGAATCCCATGAGCTCTTACTCCTCCTTGCTTTGGAACGATGGGGAGGGTCTTCTCCCACTCATCGTTACTTGTTGCGGCCGCTGCATCCTCCTGATCTCTTGATGCATTCGTCATGAGCTTACGAACAGCAGCAGCACCATTAATGCCTCGGCCTGCACCTTGTGACATCAGTTCCTGCAAAGACATGCGTCGAAAGCCATCAGTGGCTTCCTCCGGCTGCGGCTCTTCCTGAAAGACCTCGATGGCCTTCCTTGTTCTCCTGGACATGCTCGGATCGATGCGGCGTTGCTTGCTCGGATCGGAACGCGTCGCCATGGTTGGCGAGAGCGAGAGAGAGAGAGAGAGAGAGAAGAAGGTAAGTTGAGGGAAGGGTGGAACGTCAACTTGCATGGTTAAGACTGAGAGATCAGCGGCTGTGCTCCTACCGGCCTCCTTTGGCTTCATGCCAAAGAGTGCGATGGAAGCATTGGAGGAGGAGCGAGGGAAGAGGCTTATGTGGTTGCAGCACTGTTCTTGATCCATCTATCATTACTAGCCATGACTTCATTCTCATCATGCACCTGCGTAAAGATGGAATCATACATGACAACAATGAGGACGTACTTACGATGATCGCATGTCGTCAATCGCAAAATGTCCTCCTTATATAGTGATAATCTTTGTTGGTAGACTCTGTTTAGCCCCATAAGTGATGATGTGCCATAATCTCATTTATAAAATTGATATTAGTATTTTTCATAAATTTAAAACCGAAATAAATAATTTTATTTTTCCTAACATCATCATCAGTTACACTATTAAAAGATATAATACGTGATATTATATATTGCATTAGTACAAATTAGATGAAAAAAAAAAGAAGATATTTCAATATCTCTATATCACCGTTTGCATCGACCTTCGTCGCTCGGCTCCCCTTCCTCCCCAATGCTTCTTATGTCATGACTCTTTTCATTTTTGCCCTCGCCTCTAATTCCAACACTTTCTTGAGCTTTAGTCGTAACTTCATTCGCCATGTAATGATCGCTGCTATCGCCATCGGGACAAGAGTATGCTATTGCTTCCTGTCCGATCAATAGCTATAACTTATATGCTTAATTATGATGGTTATTTGAAAATGTCCTATCGTGATAGGTTATATGACAAATTATTATATTTCATTTATGTGAGTATTATTTGTGTGGTTTTAGTATGATTGCTTTTAAGAGGAGACAACATTTTGAGTAATGTTATTACACAAAATCATATTTTATGCCAAAATCCTATAAAGATAAATAAATCTCTTTTGTGATTGTCGGAACAAAGAACATAATAGACTAGTATGGGTAGAGATAAAGATGGCAGGGTCTACAAGTAGTTATTGCTATGTTAAAATTATATTTTAATTTAGGCAAAACAAAAAAATAAAAATATATTAAAATTATTATTTTTTACTTATCAATTTCGCATTAGTCGAGCATGTGATATCACATGCTATCTCTTTCATGACGTTAGAAAAAATAAGATTATCTATTTTATTTCTAGAACTATAAGGATCCTAATATAAATTTTTTAAATACATGAACAATAATATTAATAAGGTCTAAATATAGAAGATAAAAGTTCATATAATACTATAGTTTTCGTAATCGTAAGTAAAAGTTTTATCTTTTTTATTGTGGTCTAATAATCGCATCTACAAGTTTTATTCGTGTGTTATTTATAAGATAATACTTATTGTAAATAAAAATATGTAGCATTACATCTATTAATAAGCCGAGAAAATTAGATATAATATATAATAATAAATTTGATCACATATCATTTACCACAATATGACATGATACGATAATTAGCTACCTGTCTCATCCATAGGATACAAGTGTCGAATTAGATGTTGAATTGATAAGTAATATTTGAATGAACATTTGAATTAGTTTATAGCGATAGGGCGATCTGATACTATTATTTTGAGCTTAAATGCCTTGATCGATGGTTTAGGTTTATTAAGATAATGATTTAATTATTCTATTAGATCGTATCATAACAAATGATACAAACATTACATTAAACATAACATAAGGATTCAAATAGAAAAGAGATATGATGGATGTGATTGAATACATATGATAATGTGAAAGTCCTATCGACTTAGCTTCGCATGCAATATGCCATTGTTACACTCTAATTTAATATCTTAAAAAAAATTACATGAGTTTATTACTATTGATTTAAACTTAACACAATTTACACTCAACATAAAGTATTTAATGGTTAAATACTTCCTCCCCTTCTTTCATCTATAAACCCATCCTCGAGCCATTCAAGGAAAGAGGCACTACCAAACATCGAATGCTTGTTCTTGTCCTTTGTGCAATGCCAAAGATGAAAGTGAGGTCAACACCTCATGCAACAATTCTCTTGTCCTGAGTTAAGGCTGGCTTTGGAAGTCATATTTGCGTTGACTGCTTCCCATCAGCTTCCCTAATCTAAGGACTCAAGAAGCTGAGCTCCCGTCGTTCTCTTGGAAGCTGAATGTTTTATTTTGTTCTATTTCTCCTTTTTCACCCCAAGTTTCTTATGAAAAGGTATTTGATGGATTGGTGTATTGTACAATTGCCAAGTCTTGTACTCCAATCTATATAAAAAGACAACACTGAAAGGTTGACATTCAGAGTTGGCCATCACGCAAAGCCTTCATAAGAGGCAACAAATTCTTGGAAGTCAAATCTTGATAGTTATTTAGTGACAATCTTTGATAACTTTTCATAATGAAATCTTCGGAATAGAAAAAATATTGATGTTCACTTTCTACCCTCCGGTAATCACATAACAAATAACAGGGTTAATTATATATTATCCTTCGTAGTTAGATCTCTTTAGTTTTTTTTTATTTTTAGATTTAAAATATTTATATTGAAATATCTATAATTATGAAAATAAAATATCTATATCTATTTATTCTATCGTTGTCGATTTTATCGATGAAAATATAAAAATAATAGATAAAAAAATAATTTTAATGTTCTAATCGGTAGTGACAGACAATGTCAGTGGTGGTGGATTGCAACATTATTAGGGGCCGCGGGTGACTGCTATGGATGAGAAGAACAATGGTGATGGATGAGGGTCGCTCAGCAACTGTATTAATACTAATACAGATACACAATGATGTCACTTGACAACTGTATCGATGTCGATATAGATGTAGATCAATAAAAGAGCTACTCACTGTGTTGATGTCGACGCAATTACCGAGCAACGAAAAGATCATCAATGCAAATATAGAGTGGTCCTCATCTCTCGTCACCATAGTAATCATCCGCAGCCCCTAGTGATGTCGTCATTTGTTATCACCGACGTTGTTCACTATCATCAATTGAAATATTGAAATTATCTTTTCATCTTTTATCTTTATATTTTCATCTATAAAACCAACGATGTTATGGTAAATGAATATAGATATTTTATTTTCATAACTATAACAATTTCGATATAAATTTTTAAAGTATAAATATTAAGATGTGAAGAAGGACTAACCCTAAAGGATGATCTATAATTAGCCCGCAAATAAGATCATGTAAACTTGGCATCTGTGTTGGCTTTTCCTTTCGTGCTGTGGTTGTGGTTCGTTTTGGCAGTAAACTTAGCCTTTCGTTGCCTTGAGAGCTAACAAACACACCCAACACCGATGTGCTCATCGCCTCTATTTCCTTTTCAACTATATTCTGACAGCATTCTAAGTTGACCTCATTTTGCAGCTATTTCATTATTGCATTATTGTATTGTATTGTTGTTGTTGGTATTATTATTACTTACTTTCACTCCATTCACCAATATCTGAAATCATTAATTAAATAATGTTGTGTGTTTCTTATAGGGATATATATATTATGTGGTAAGACCTTTTATAAGCTGACCAGTCATGAGTTGTCTTCCGCATCACACTAATGAGTTAGATGTCTACATTTCTGACCAAAAACAGCTTGCAAACATATATTCTGATGGATAGGAAAGAGTAAATAATATGCATCTATTTCTGGAGATTGTGTGTCATGTTGGCAACTATATACCAAACCCTTATGCATCTGCCAGAGTTCCATTCTTACGTATATATCAACACCACGACGAAGGGATCCGTAATAATGTGGGGGGTTAATGCATACTATTTTTTGTTTGGGCGAAGGAATTGTTTTATGGTAATAGCAATAACTATTCTTATTTACTTTTCCACGAGTATTAACGACGATTAAACCTTAAAATATTCCTATTGCCAGTCCTGCAATCCTTCTTATATAAAACTCACGTATGCTCGGTGACGATGGAAGCCTCGACTGAGTTGAATAGGTGGTTGATGCAGCAATCCCTGATACTTACTTGCATGCGCCATGACGCCCGTGGAGGTACCCAATGCAGCAGGAGGAGGAGAGATGAGGAGAGTGAACGTGGTGTACTTCCTCAGCCGGAATGGCCGGGTGGAACACCCGCACCTCCTCCGCATCCATCGCCGTCGTCGAGACCACGTTTACCTTCGCGGTACTGTGCTTCCCCTTTGCTTGCGCCTCTTTGATCTATCTCCTCGTATCTCTTCGGCTGTTTCCCAACTATTTCCTGCGCGTGCTCGATCTGCCAGATGTGAAGAGATGGCTGTCGGAGTTCAGAGGGAAGGACATGGCCGACTCCTTCGCCTGGTCCTACAAAAGGTGATCTACTCCATCGTCTCATCCTCTTCGTTCGTTGCTATTCGTGCCATGATTACATGGGTGTGATTTCTCAGACGGTATCGAGGCGGATACATATGGCAGGACCTGATGGACGACGACCCCATCACGCCCTTCGCCGACGCCGAATACGTGCTCAAAGGATCCGAGCTCGCCACGGATCCTCCCGTCTCCACCCCCAGCAAACAGGTGCAGCACAGAACCCCACCTTCTGTTACCCACTCATCTCCTCTGACTTCATGTGCATCGTTTGCTTTCACCGATGACCAGGTGATGATGCCGGCGTCGACGTCGGCGGTCGATGAGGAACCACCCAAAGTGGCGGCCTCATCTGACGCCGACACTCTACTGGTGTTGCCGCCATCGCCAACACAGCAGAAAGCGGCACCCGAGATCGACGCGTCGAAGGTGGAGGCGAAGGAGAAGCCGAACGAGGAGAAGGAGGAGGAGAGAGGGGCATCGATAATGGACAGCAGCAGCGACAGCAACAACTGCTCGAAGCGAGCGACGCAGGCGCTACGTAACATCCTCCGGTGCAAGACCGCGGATCAGACCGACGACGGGGCCCTGCGGCCGATAAGCCGAGAGGGAGAGGAGCGGTCCGGCGGTGGCCGCGGCGGTGACAGTGAGGGTTCAAGGTGATCGCGTCGGTGCCATTAGGAGTCATCTGCTTTGCATTTACAGGCCTTGCTGCTGTGTGCTGAAGAGTTGGAATTGGCAGGGAAGGGAGGACGAGGAGCGGCGGGGGGAGGAGGTGGCGGAAGGCGGGGAAGCAGGAAGCCGCCCCGGTTAACACGCCGGCGGCGACACCCACTTGCTCGTAAGTCACACTCTTCGTCTCTTAATTCGTGGCTCGTGTGACTCGGATCGAGTCGTAGTTGGTTGAGAAACACACGGGTCACAGTCCGACTACGTGAAGACACGAATCCAAGTTTTATTCACTCTTTATTCATAGGTATTGCTGCAATAGTGATTGATATCTGAAATAGCAGTCAAAATTATGCCATTAAATAGGACGTCCCAAAGTTGGATACATATTAGGCTAATTAAATATTACCCCTAACTTTTTTAGTATTTCGATCATTAGACTTAAAAAATTTATATTAGAATTGTTATAATTATAAAAGTAAAACATCTAAGTCCATTTACCCTAATATCATAGGTTTTATAGATAAAAATATAATAAATAAATAAATAAAAATAATTTTAATATTCTCATTGGTTGTGACGGACGACGTCAGTGGTGATGAATGACGACATTGCTAGAGGTCGCAAGTGACTGTTGAGGATGAGGAGAGCAACGATGAGAGATGAGAGCCACTTTGCATTTATGTCAACGTCGATACAATTGCTGAGTGATCCTTTCGCCTCTTTACATCTGCATCGACGCGGTTGTCGAGCGACAAAAGGATCACCGATGTAGATGCCGAGCAACCCTTTCATCACTCGACAACTACGTTGACGTAAATGCAAAGCGACGAAAAGGACGCTCACTGCGTTTGCGTTGATGCAATTGTCGAGTGGCAAAAGGGTCGGTCACTACATCAACACCGATGCAAATGCAAAGCGACGTCACTCAGCAATTGCATTGACGCCAATGCAAATCGCTGCTTGGCAACTATGTCGACGTCGATGCAGAGTGACAAAAAGATCGCTCACTGCGTCAACGTAGTTGTTGAGCGATGAAAGGACTACTCAGCATTTGCATCGATGTCGATGTATATATGCAGAGCGACATCGCTCTACAATTGCGTCGACGTCAATGCAATGAGTGACGAAAGGACTGTCGATATCGAGCGATCCTTTTGTCGCTCAACAACTACATCGACACCGACGTAGAACGACTCTCATCTCTCGTCCTCATTCTCCTAATCCACAACAACCATCTATAACCTCCAACATCAACCGCTATCATCAACTGAAATATTAGAAATTATCTTTTTTATCTATTATTTTTATATTTTTATCGGTTAAACTAACAATGTTAGAGTAAACTTCATTTTCATAACTATAGAAATTCTATTGTAAATTTTTTTAAATCTTTTTAAATCTGGGACCAGAATACTGAGAACGTTTATATTTGGAAGGTAATTTATAATCAGCCCATAGAGATTTCATAATATCCGGTTACTATAAATCACCACTTGCTCATGGTTCGATGGAAGTGCAAATGCAATTAATTACTTTATGCTCGAATCCATTTCACTAATGATTGGTTTAATTGGTTGCAAATTTGTCGAGCAGGCAATGTGGGAAGACATTTAAGCCGCAGAAATTGCATTCACACATGAAATCATGTAAAAGTCTCAATGGACAAGTAGGGATATAAAGTCCCAGATACGATGGAAATGCCATAGGATATAAAGTCTCAGATATGAAGAAAATGCTATGGCAGTGAATCGAAAATGGAAGAGTTCAAGGCAGCAGTCCCCAAATTTCTCATGGTAAAACATGTTACCTAAAGCCAATAATGCATTCCAGGTGGACATGGTACTAAATCAACCTATCATTACAATAAGAACAATAAGAAGAAAAGAGGTGACAATCATCAGATCAAATAAACTAGATGGAACATTTGAAGGTTGCAGTGAGTGTGTGGAGATGATGTCTCAGGTATGGCACTGATGATGATGAATCTTTGAAATGCTTTGGTTTTTGTGATCAGTTTTGTTTTAGTTTTTCATGTATATTCTTTGTATACATGAATTTATACATGTAGTGTTTGGCTCTATATATTCTTTAAACAATAAATAAATGCAGGTGAAGTTACAAGCAAATGCAATTTTGAATGTCTGGATTTTTACCATGTGATTGCATGATACAAATGTTGTGGTTCAGATGATTTTTTTTTCCCACATAGCCCCTCCTAAACAAAATCCATATATTTCACTAGCTATTAGTGCATTTGGCAAAATCATCAACAAATCATTACCAATTAAAGCAGAGATCTTACTAAAACCATTATCTGCAACAATATTTCAACTTTAACAGCCATAATAGTAGATTTAATCCAGCTATGCCAGTCAGTAAAAATGAGGAACAAATGCAATTATTTTGAGAGGCTATATTATATTTTAAATTTGGAGTTTCTAGTGTTGCAAGAATCAATCTGGATAATATATACACATCACGTTCATGCTCAAGGTGTTGGTGCAATTTCAGAAGCATTAGGTAATTCAAAGAAAACATAGGAGCTGAAATGTTCATCTGAGAGGAACAAATTGACATCCATGCTCAATCCACGGCTCATTCCAAGAGAAAACATTTTTGATGGAGTACATGCAATTAATTAAGACCAGACACAAACACCACAGCGAATTAAAATATTATGGGTTCATACCAAAACAGAACATAGAGCAGTTTCTCAATTTTTCAACACAATCCATGCGACAAAAAAAATGAACAAAACCCACTGAGCCGATAATACAGGTTTGTAGACAAATAGAAATAGACTACTGAAGTAGGCAAGAAAGACCATAGAGTATCATAATAATAATTACTATTATCAGCGCAATCTCCTAGCCTCCCTTTCAGATTCAAGAAGGGTAAGGATATCACCTTCCCTCACGGGGCCCTTTACGTTCCTCATGATCAGCCGGTTTTGGTCATCCAAAAACTTAACCCTAACCTGGGTAACCTGACCTCTAGATCCAGTGCGGCCCATCACCTTCACCACAACTGCAAGCTTAGCTTGAGTATCCATGCTGTTCATATCGGTATGCAGTGCAATCAGATAAGACTGCTCATCATAATTCCCACTTCCAAAGAAAACAAAGAACCAAATAATGGCACGACAATGAAAACGAAATTACAAGAAAAGAAGCATGAAGAGTGTGCCACCATTTGAAGTGCAGTGTGTCAACCAAGTTTCTCATTGCCATAAATGGAAAGTGATGTAAGTTATCATATTACATGGCAACTTGCAGAACACCATCCTTGTGCTAGTTGTTCTGACAGTGTATATACGATGACCTCTATGATATATTTTGATTAAGTAGTGAAATCTGTACTGAATGAAATAAATTAAAACCCACTAGTTTACGTGATGAAAATTAACTCAGTAGAATACATAACCTATGATGAGGGTGTGGTTGGCTTACGGTGGAGGCAGAGCAAAATTAAACAAGGCATCATAGTTATGTCCACTTAGAGTGCATCGGACTGTTAAGGGCTTGAGTTCTGATCGATCAAAGAAAACAAGTTTTAATTAATCATTTGTAAAGAACACGTAACTCGGTTAACTAGCCTCAACTTTTCTTTAGTTTGGTCACTTAGCTAGCTAGCTAACTCAATTATTAGATCAACAAAGAAAACGAGAGTGAGCTACTCTAACCCGCTCTCCAGGACAAGTAATTATCCAGGTTAACTATTCTAATTAGGTAAAATTAGCCCTTTGAGTAATCAAACCAATAACCACCAGCTTAATCCTGTTTAAGCCAAAACCAAATTAAGACAAATAGCTGTGTGCTCTCTTTTTAAGGTGCTTGAAACAGACTGTCAAGTGGTCAACCTCTTCTTACATGGGAAAAATTACAGACACTTCGATTAACTTAAGCATGAAGCACATCAAGCCAATGATTCTAACTAGTCAACCAGTACGAGATCGAGATTTAAATTCATGTATATATCAAACAACAGCACAACTGCCCATTAGACCACAACATCAAAGAAGTAAACAACTAAAGATGCAAATCATATCAAGAAACAAACAACTCACTTTACTCGAAGCTTATTTAAGACTCAGATCATCGTAACCAACTAAACATGCAAATCATGCGCTACAAGAAATTAATTGGCGTACAAGTCCTCCACAAATCGAAAAAATTCGATAGAAGACTGAGAGAACCGACAATCAGTATTGCTGGATGACATATTACAAACTACCAGGACATCACAACATCCACTGATAAATCGATAACAAGCGAAAAAAGAACTGGGGACTCGGAAGTAATCGCACGCACCTACGATCTCTCTCGCGTAGGGGGCGATGGGTAAGCGAAGGCGGCCGCGGGAGAAAGCAGAACAAGAACAACCCTAGTCAGGTTTTATTTATAGGGGCCATCGACCGAGGGCTTCAGACTCTGGGCCGCGAGTCAAAAAGGCCGGCTTAACAGGCCGGTTCTAGCCGAGATGACCTAAGCCGAGATGGATTCTTCCAGAAGTCAAAGGCAATATTATTTGATAATAAAATACAAATTGTATAATATTAAAATTATTATACAAAAAGAAAACTCATATCTCATCCAAGGATTTAAGTTTTTACAGACAATAGCATTGTGAACTTGAGATAATAAAAGCAATTTCACCATTTTTTATTTTTGTTATTTGAGACTTGTGATGCCTTTTATATCTTTTTGATGAAACTTTTAATGTAGTAATTATTTATTATTCTTTCAATTTCATGCGCATGATAGAACAGAAATCCTAACACATCTGCAATATTAGGGCAGAGACCAAAGGGATCAACAAGTCAAGGAAACGCAAGCACTAGAGTAGAGCTACTCATCAATGGTGAGAATAATTCCAAGAGACTGCGATGAGAGAACATTACAGGGATCACACTAACCATCACCCAAAAGACTGGCATCATGACACTTGACCAGAAATCAATTACTCCATGAACATTACAATCATTATAACTGCAGCAGACCGTTTTGACCAATCCTTCCACTATAACCGGTAAGATTCAACAGAAGAGAATCTTTCTTCACCCTTCACAATGTACACCTCAGATGACAAACATGTATTCCAGCTGTTGATTTTATACATCACCCCACCAAAATTGCAAAATTCTCTTGAAACTTAAATAAAACTCGATCGAACAATGCCCTCACACTTGATTCAACTTGATGAATAGACATAAAGAATGAAAAGCAAAAGCAATAATGATGTAAAGTAGGAAGGCACACAAACCATAAGAAAGAACAGTTTCCCCATGGCGACACCGGAAGGGTTACGAAGATAGTATAGACTGCAGCGCGAGTTGCTGCTGAGGCTGCAACGTAGACCAGGTTGAGGCGAGGACAGACGGTGGCAATGTCTGTTGAATCTGCCTCAAGAGACTGATCATCCGGCTAACAGTTTGTTCTGTGGCCAGATCATTTCCTGCACACAAAACCTAGACGAAAAAACAAAAGAATTCACTATCTCAGGTGACAATCAAACAAACATCAAATTGCCACTAAAAGTAGTACAACCATCAGACGGTATCCAAAAGACTACATGGCAAAATAGCTATTGCCGAAAAACCAATCTGACATTTTGTTACTATTGATAGGGCTAGGAAGGTTTTCAAGTGCAACAGCCGACAGCAAGTAGCCAAGGACATGTAAAATCATTAAATTTTACAAAAAGAGTATGCATTTCTCTCCTAGCTAAAATAAATCTATTTCAGATAAGGGTTAACGTCCTAGGTATCATGTAAAATCATCCTGGTAAACACTGCAACTTCGACAAAGATCAAAAGATTTTTGGAGTACCAACGAAGGCTCAATCATGCTACAAGCACAGCAGAAAAACTTCATACCACTACCCAACATGAAAATGGGTTAAAATTTTTGTATCATCAAAGGTTCTGTGATGCTAAAAACACTGTGCAAAACCCCGTACTGCTACTAGACGGAAGACAGGATAAAATTTGACTATCAATAAAGTTTCTGTCATGATAAAAGCATACTAGGTTGAGCTTCATAATGCCATTGATAACAATCGCTTCACAATTATATTTTAGAACTAGTGGGAGAATATAAATCACTTTACCACAGAAATGAAAGGGGGGAAACTAATAGCTCACCTCGGCAAATACAGAAACTATTTTAGGAATATTCTGGTTGTTTGGTCCTAAGAGCTCCCTATCCGATCTGTGGAGAGAATTCGTGGTTAATATTCAGTGTAATACCAAACCAAAAAATGAATTAGAAGCTATGATGGATCAAATATTCTAATTTCCAGTCACACAAATCAGGGAGTTACCTTTCAAGCATTGAGCAAAGCTGTTCATGAACAATTTTGGCCTCAATTAAATCATTTTTAATCGGTAAGCAGCTTAACCAAGCAGGAAAAACCTATCAAATCCAAATATATAGCAGTATTAACATCGAGAAATGTCGTCAGTTTGCATTGCATTCATGAAAGTCCAACAAGTGTGGCAATGAGAAAAGTACATAAAGTACATACAGGCAGTGTACAATGATATCCAGTGCAAAATAACATTCTAATACACCTGATTGCAGCCTCAGGAATAATCTGACAATTTCCTTTGACATACTAAATTAAAGATAAGTACAATAACAAAAAAAATAGGAGCAGAATGATATCCAGTGCAAATAGAAAGTTGACCGACAAAATGACCTTACAATAAGAACTAAAACACAACAATTAAGTTAGAAAACAGAAGCACACGAATTTCAAGAATGGTACACCAGAAGCAAAGCTGCATGAAAACACTATCAAATTCTGATGTGCATCGGAAGTGTCCAATATGGAAAGAAAAAGGAGAAACACAGATGAATAAAATAAAATTTTAACATATTATAAGTAGATAATATTTTTTATGTTGTGGAACTTAAAGTATTAGATGTTTTTATAAGATTTGTAAATAAAAAGGCAAAATTTCAATGTCAAATCATCAGTAACATATAGAATTGATCTTTAGAGAGATTGATGAGTCCTCATGAATAGATATCCATCCAACATGATTTATGGGTGCACTTGAGGATCCAAATAACTTCCATGTACAATAAATAGCCCAGAAAGTCAAAATTTGAGTATCAAAATGACTTCCAAAGGGCACTAAAACAAAATAGTACAGCAAGTCTCATTTTGCTCAAACAGAAACACAATCATCTCAATTATGCAATAACAGAAGATTAACAAGGAATCCAAGAATATCCATGCAAACCACCATCATTTGACAAATTTTGACATTTAAATATATAAGATTTTAATAAATTTGTGGAACCATAATGTAGAATTACCCAAGAAATGATAGTTTGCCTTTTCTTAAACTGTATCCGGTTCAGAGTTAAGGAGGGTTAAGTTGATTTAAATCAAAGGCTTTAGAGTTAACGAAGGTAAAATCAATCAAATCAATGGGCTTTAACTCGGATGACCTGTGATAAAATAAATCATCTTGAAATAATCCTATCTAATTTCCCCTGCCAACCTAGATAACTCACTTTTTAGCAATCAAATTAAACAAGTAAATCACAATTGACCATTGTAGCATTACTTTGACATGGATTATACTTCAATTGCAAACCATACAAAGATTTGGAGGAAATTGACAAACAAAAGGATGTCTTGCAACTAATGAAAAATCTGAGGACAACAACAGTATAAATAGTTCAAGCTCATAGAGCTGTTAATATAATTGGACAAATATTTAGAGTTGGCTACAAAAAATACCTCATTCAGATAGACCGATTAAAAATTATACAATGAGAAAACATTAGAGATTAAGAAATTCACCGTTATAGAATGAGAAGAGAGAGAGAGAGAGAGAGAGACTATGATCTCTCTAGCTAATAATACCATTGCCATCAACTACCAATACCTTTTATGCAATATATAAGCTTTTAATAGATTATAAGATACAACTATATAAGACAAAAATAAGAGAGCACACAAAGCTACCTTAGCTGCATCAATACCATCACGATGGAACTGACATATTTTGCCAAGAGCAGAAACTGCATTGTCATATGCCATCACATTGTCTGGGTGCAATGCATCAGGATGTCTAATCACATTATCCAACCTCGACAAGGCCTCTACATAGAGGAAGAAAACGTTGCACAAATAAACATGAGGGATCACCAAAGACGTGAACTTCTATGTGAATAACATAATTCACATTAAGCTACCTCCGACAAGAGGCCGAAACACAGAAGAACCAAATTCAGCACAAACACCAACTCCATAAACAGCAGCCTGAAAAATCAAAAACAAGAACTTATAACTAACAACCGTAATCTCATGATGGTGGTAATTATGAGTATGTATCCCAGTTAAACAAAAAGTACACACTAGGTATATAAGATGGATCAAAGGGAAGAATGAACCCAAACCTGCCTAACATCTGCATTCTCATCATTGCATGCTTCTAATAGGAAAGGAAGATAGGTGTCATAATACCTGTCAAAAAGAAACAGATGATATGAACACACAGATACTAAGCACAATTACTAAAATAATCCACTGATTGAAAAGAAAAATACTTCAGAGCTGCTTCCTGGCATTGTTCTGCGACATCATCAAAAATGCAAATGGCAATCCTCCTCTCCTCAGCTGTTTTATCCTTGCCCTGTATGCAAAAGACAATGCATAACCATGCCATAGAGAAAGTTTCATGAAGATGAATTTAACTATTAAAAAGCATAATATACTATTTTCAATTCATATCACAACAAGATCATAAGACAGAGCAAAAAGAGCTTGGTAACTATAGCAAGAAAGCTTTTAAATACAATTCCAGGCGAGCAACTCTGACATGCATGGATAAAATACTAGATATATGAAAGCTTCTAAATGTAATTCCAGATGAACTCCAATATGCATGGATAAAATACTAGCCATGTTCCATTAGCATGAAACTATGAAAAATATAATAATGCAATTGTGAATATTTGTTAACAGTCATCCAAACATGGGGGTCAAAAAGTAGGAGACCTAGGTTGAAAGTTGCATAAAAATTAAACAAATAAGAAAATTGGAAGTGTCTAATTTGTGAATCCACTTCCTCAAATTGCACACTATATGAAGAAAAAAAATCATACATACTTGGGAGTGAATTAGCTCATTTGTGGATTCCACAATCTATGGATTGATGACTTAATTTCTAATCACTAATAACAGTCCATTTTAAGATTCCAACATCAAAGAAACATTTAAGTTACTACATTGTCACTCTTATGATAGTTTAGGATTTGATGTACAAGGGAAGCCACATTGTTAGAGGAGCATTTGTCTGAGACAAGCACAGACTACGAAGTCCTTCAAAAAAGAAAAAGATGCAGGACATAGACCCTGATTCTCTTCCTCTTCATCTTATTATTTGTTGTATTGTTAGTTCTTTTTTAAATCTTTTACATGCTTCATTGTGTTTTCATTATCTGCTGATTGTCGCAACTGCTGAGTAGGCAGAACTACATAACTGTGCCAAACCAAGTCCAATTGAAATCTACTTTGCATAACTTCTGGATGCCATGCTTATAATACTAAAATGTTATTCAAAAGCCTTTAACATCAACAAAAAAATGTTAACATAGCTGAAGAACATAGGTATCCAGAAGTTCCATAAAATACAGTAGATGACTAAAGGTATGCAATATCCAAACATCTTATACAATATGCTGAACATACAGAAAGCTTTGGAGAGTTTACCAGCATCGGAGTTATGTATAAAGATAGCTCATCAAAGAATGGATTGAAAGAAGCCTTGAAGGTCTTAATCAAAGTGCCTAGGCAATCCCCAACCTGAAATGCAATAACCAGGGCGATAAAAAAAGGGCAAGATTTGATTTCACAAAGTAACTACTGTTGCATTAAAACACATTTAAAACAAAACAATTTTACAAAAATCCAGTATAATTCTGTATCAATTCATTATTAACCTGATCAAACACTTCTTCCTCCTCCTCATTTTCCTCCTTAAGCATTTCCTCTTCCTCTGCATCAAAGTCTTCTGCCTTTGTTCGTTCTGCCCTTTCCTTTTTCCTAGCCGCACTAGCTGTTATCACATGTTTTATTTGGTCAACTATGCTTCTGACCTGGTTTTCACTAAGAAGCAACCCAGCAAGCTGCAAAAAACAAACATAGAAGTTGCAACCAACAATTAGGACTGGTTTACATTTTTATCTGTAGCAACACAAGGAGATGATAAATTATCATAATCTAGGATACCAAAAAAAACTGCATGGTCCCTTGTCTTGGATGGTAAAACATTTATTTTCCTCATGAAAGGTCGAGGTTTGATCCCCATGCATGCAAGCTGGGCATACTCATGCAGTGTTTTCTTCCTTATTATTGGCTCTTATGGGCTTTGTGTGACTAAGTGTGTCTGAATGGTTCGTTTAACTTACTTCCATATGTGGATCACCTTCTGGGCCTAGTGTTCCTTCTAAAAGGAAATTACAATAAACCAACTTTAAGACAAGGATATACCTGCATGCACTCATTAAGTGAATCCAGCATGCTTGCACAGATTTCTGTTTCTGGTTCCTGCAAAAAGATGATGCCGATAGATCAATAACCTCACATGTCATAAGACAAATAACATCATTCCATCAGATAGCATGAATAACCTTTTGCAATGCTTCAACTAGAGCAGGAATTATATAATCTGCTAACTGCTTAACATATGATTCATCACGGCCTTGAGCTTGCCCCTTTTCAACTGCTAGTTTTGCCGATCGAAGTAGTTCCGGCATGGCTATGGATAAGCAGAAATAAACCAAACCATCAATAAGCAGAATGTTATAAAAAGATGAAGAAAAAAAAATAGATACCTGCAACAGCAGCCTTCCTCACTTCTTCATGGAAATAAAATTTAAGAAGAGGTACCAATGTAGGAGCCACCTGAATTTAGTTTGCATTATATAGCATTAGTTCCCCTAGAGGCAAGTCAATTCCATTATCAAAAAGTATGGCAATGGTCATAACCAACCTGATCGATCCATGGATAAAAGCCTTCCTTTAGCTCATCAGCATAGCAACAAAGCATGTTACAGGCTGTGGCTTTCTCCTCCAAGACACTAGTCCGAATACCTATCCTTTTATCTCCAAGAGTGATGGTTTCAACACTGAATACAAATCCAGAAGTAAGAAACATCATAGCATATGTTAATGACAATCTTAAATATTACAGTCAACATTTTGACCAGACCAGCTCAATGAACAAGCAGAAACAAATATGATTTGTTTTCTTTTTATATTTTGCACCAAGAAACAAACCTTTCATCATCTGAATCTTCTATATCATCATCAGAATCTGCTGAAGTAATAGTCACATCTGGTTTCAGCTGAGCAGACTGAAGCAATGGAGGCATAACAACACTCATGTATGGCAGAAAATCCTGTCCTAAGCACTTGCATAACCTGGCCCAGGCCTATTAAAGAACAAGAATGATTACATTGGAAACATCATTTGTCTTGCATATTATGATTACATTGGAAATATCATTGGTCTTGCATATTAAGCCATGGGAGCTAAAATACACCTGAAGCATGTAGCTTATAGTAGGGTCATCTGTCTCCATCTGTGATCCTTGTAATGCCATAAGAACCTCCATAACCTGGCACATGATAACAGTAAAATTATGACTGTTAAGCCTAATAAACAATAACATCATAAGCAAAAATAGTTCAGTACAAACTACAGAGAGACAACCACACTCTTCATGAACTTCCCAAAAATACAAAGACTAACTCTTCAAAGAAAAAAGACGAAGCTCAAGAAGTTGTTATTGACAGCCTAATAATTAGTCACTCGTCGGTACTAATGAGGTTTCAAAAAGCAACAAACTACTTGGAACTCCCAGTACTTAAACAGAAACCTGTACCTACTAGTTAATACCATAACTCTCAAAGTTCATGCTGTAATTTCAGCTAAAGGCATTATTAAAGGCTAAAGACCTCATTCTGTCACCATACTCAACACAAGAAGGTCTAATATCTTAAATTACATCAAAATTTTAAAAATAAAAACAGAATCTCATTTTTAACATGCTACAACAACCATGAACAAGATTCATGTAAAATTTAAAACTAGAGAACTTAATAAACTTGAAGTACCAGTAAGATATATCAAAAAGAAAACAAATTGTTGGACTGTGAATCTGAAGCTCACATAAAATAGTAGCATGTAAACAACTCAACAAATAGAAGATAACATAAAAGAGCAATCTGTATAATCCTCTGCCTTTATTTACATAAGAGACTTCTCAAATATGTACCACAGGTGATACATCAAAAAATTTTGAAAAAGTGATTGCACCTGTTTAGCATCATCCCTGAACTTATCCTTGCCCACTGCCATTCCAACCAAACTTATGCACTCCATCGATTTCGCACGAAGCATCCGATTTGACTTGTTAGTAGCATTCATTAAAATAACCTTGAGATATGGCATAACAGCATCATAATACTTCTGGAAATGTTCCTGCAGTTCAATTTTTTGTCAGAAACTCTCTGGTCAATAGCACATTTGACAAACAGTTTAACAAAGATGGTTTTAAACAAGTACTTGTGATGAATCTGCCACCGAAGCCAAAGCTGTTAAAGCTCCTTCTTGAACCATCTGCTTCCCATTCTGAATAAAACAATTACAAATTTCATGATTATCTTTAAGTTCTAACCCCAAAGCTGAGCAAGGACATATTGATAGTTTACTAGATCAATGCAAATTTTGAAGCTATACCTGCAACAACACAAGTAACTTGCCAACAATCCCATCTAGGTAAGGTGTCAAGATATCAGGAGTGCAGTTCTCGCAGAAATTCAAAACTGCCGAAGCTGCATGTGCCTGAGGAATCAATCAATACCATTTGAGAAAGGATGACCCAGGATATTTTGAATTCAAGTATATTTTCAAGAAGCATGTACATTACATATAAAGAAACACACAATGAATGACAAATTTAAGGAGACAAAACACATGAAAAATTGCTTAAGTGTAAAAGAAAAGGAATGAGCCAACTTCTCAACCTATCACAGTTACAACATCTTACTTCCCTTGAAATTATCTGGCAATTTAAGTAAGACATTGTCCATTTCTACAGGATTTATAGTCCAAACAAAAAATAAAAAAGAGAAGACAAACAAAAAATTCTTAACTAGGATTTTCCACTCACTATATTCAACCAATGAGAGGCACAGGACACCTTTTAGATTAATGTCATAATAATCTCTATCATGTAACATCTATTCTGCTATGCATCTAATTGATTAACCAAATTTAAAGATGGTCAAAAGAACTAACAAATAAAACCATGCAGGCAAAACATAAACCAGATATCAGGAGTTAAACAGAACCACATAGAAAATCCTCATATTAAGCTGATTTTTGCAAACCAAATAGAGTTTCAAGGATACACAAAAAACCATGTTGTTCCATAAGCTACGTGATCATCACTCAGGACTCGTTGCACTCTGTTACTTTTCTTATTCAAATAGTGATCATCCTTGTGTCTAACTGGATGCTTTGGGGCACTCACAAGCTGATGTAAGCCTTACAATGGCCCTTAGCTATAATCAATTGTCCAATAAAAGTATAAAAGGTATGTTGTTAGTTCAGACAAGAATAATCAGTTTACATAAGATGGCAAAGCTAAGTTCACAAATTGAATTCATCAGTCTTGTTGAAAGGAATCAGTTGGAATTATCTTGAATTAATAAAACTCATCCAAAGGTCAGCTGCAAAACAATATGACAAATATCATAAGAACTTATCATGGAATCTACAAATTCTTCATCGTTTCTACAACAGACAACACCTTCTTAACTAAAAAGAGTGATTTGGATTAGTCCATCTATATCTGTAGTTAGACAACACAAAATCATAAATAACAACTATTAATCCTCTCTAGACCACTTGCCTGCACACGGGGATTCTGGAAATCATCCATTGCTGATGCCAATGCTGGGAGCACACTCTGGTGATACTGAACTTGCAAATCCGGCCCCAAATCCGTTGACAACTGTCCAACAGCATTAATTGCCGCCCAGCGAACTCGAGGATGGGGATCTTGAAATGAGCTTAGGACCATAGTCACCACCTGCTCCAGGTTTTTTAACATCACCTGTACGTGAAGAGAATGCAAACAGAATATAATAAACAACATTTATGCTAGTAATACTACACTTACACCATCTTAAAGAAACTCCAATTATGATGACAACAAATCCTATCTTTTTGTCAAATCGATGATAAAGTAGTTAAAGATCAGAGTACTTTTGAGCAGCCTTCAGCGATCTGAGCAAGAGTGATGAGAGCTGCATGGTGTTTCTGCCACTCAGGAGCGGCCAGGTAGGCTGGTAGCAGCTCAGATGCAACTGGAACAATTGTGTTTCCACCAACAGCAATGGCAAGACGGTCGAGGCACTCCTGGGCCATGCCATAGTTACTAGTCTCCCCTGCATCCTCATCCTGAACCTCGGCAGTGTGCCAGGCAGGTTCATCCTCAATATCTAGCAGCATCTTCATGAGCACAGCAAAGAGCCTGCTGACGAACTGGGGGAGCTTCCGCATCATCCCGGGAGCACGCTCCCTGGCCTCCGCAAGGGTGATAACAAATTCAATCGCCAGGTGGCGCGTGCCTTCCTCAAGCCCATCGGCCTCAGCGATCTGCAGCATGGCACCAACGACATCAGCAAGCTGGCGGCGGAGGAACCGTGGCTCGGCTCCGGCAAGCTCCACAAGGAGCTCAAGGGCTTCCTGAGCGGCGGCCTCCTGCCCGGAGTTGAGGGACTCGGTGAGCGTGCGCATCATGGCGGGTAGGAGATCCGCGAGACGGTTGCGATCGGCGGCAGACTCGAGGGAGGTAACGAGGTTGACAGCTGCAGAGAGGGCGGCAACACGGACATCGGGGGACGAAGGGTGGGATAAGGCGGCAAGAAGGAGAGAGTGGAGGGTGGGGAGGTGGGGGCCGATGAACGAGGCATCGTCGGCGAGGACGTAGGCGATCTGGGCGAAGACGAGAAGGGCAGACTCCTGGAGGCGGGTGGTGGACTCGGGGGAGGACACGGCGTGAAAGAGGAAGGGGAGCAGGTCGGGCCAGTCGGCATCGGGGAGGAGAAAGACGGCGAGGGCGGAGATGGTGTCGGCGACCTTCTTGGCGATGGAGCGGTCGGGCTCGCGGTGGAGGACGGAGAGGAGGTGGGACTTGAGGGAGGAGTGGGAGGATGGGGAGAGACGGGGCCAGAGGGGGGAGTCGGCGTCGCCGCTGCCGCGGTGGGTGAGGAGCTTGCGGAGGAGGACAGCGGACATGGCTCGGAGGTCGGGGGAGGGGGAGGAGTGGAGGACGGAGACAAGCTTGAGGGCGAGGGCGTCGGGGTGGTGGTCGCGGCAGAGGTTGAAGAGGGACTCCGCGTGGGTGCGCTGCTCGTTGGAGGCCGACATCAACTGGCCTATGAGCGACTCGAAGGGCCCCGATTCCGCCGCCCCGAGAATTGCGGCAATCTGCTGCTGTTGATCCATGCTTGTACCGGTGGAAGAAGACGAAGGCGGAGAAGAAGAAAGATGATGTTTTGGAGTCGAGAGAGATCGGGGAAGTCGGGCGGGCACTCGCTCGCACTCTCGCTCTCTCTGGCTCGTGGATTTGGGGGTTTGTCGACCCCTTTTATGGTTAGGGTTTTGGAGATGAGAGAAAGAGATGGAGGGGGCGGATTAAGACGTGGGTGAGATGGGCTGTAACTGTTAATTAAGTGAGTTTAATTGACACGGCCCGAACTGTGTATTTTTTGATAGAAAGAGTCGTTCGAATATATTTTTTTTTACTTTTATTTGAAACAATAAATTTTTATGTTTTTTTTTAAGTTCTTTCTTTAAAAAAAAAAGATATATCAATATTTTTTTTATCATCTTCCGTATTTTAAAAATGTGTATATATATGATTTATGAATGAATAACATTAGAATCAGACACGATGCGGTGACAAAACTAGTAAGCAAAAGATGACAAGAGGAAGCTAAAATGGCACTGTACATCATCTCCTTTGACGTTGACGTTGCTATTGTTTGAAGTATTAGGAAAGGAAGAGGAGATTAAGGATTGGTTGGGCTTTTGGAGGGATGTAGAAGAGCATCTTTTATAGTATATATATTTATATATGTATATATATTCACTAATTAGATTATTTAAGATTTATTTTGAATTGTCTAAACCATATAAAGTCGAAATAGTAAGAGGAAGAAAAAGTTAAACCTAACTTCGAATCTTGTCCAATTTTAATTTTAGAAGACCTAAGAAAAAGAAGAGTTAGTAGAAACAATAATAGTGAGTGCTCAAAATCTTTTTCCATATATAGGCCTGAATCGAATCAGAGCATCACCGATGTTTTTTCCCATCAACCACCGATATGATTAGTTGATATAAGCATCACCGATATTTTCCCCCATCAACTACTGAGCTAATTGATCGACCAAGTTGTATATGCTGATATATCATATTAGGTCTTTGCCCTATGACAAATCGTGAATTTTTCATGGAGCCAACAAACCTTTAGATATCATATCGACTGTAACTCATTAGTTTAATAACTGATCAGATCTATTCTCATTGGATGTGCGGTATGCGGATGTGCGGAAACTTGAATCCTTAATGAAGCAACTACACTCAAATACACATTTGCATAACCTGAAATAACTGGAACAATTTTAATAAACCCGACATGTGTTTAAAAACAACCAGAAGTCGAGAACATATCGAACGAGGGCACGACGCTAATCACAAGCTTGAGATATTGCACATCCAACTCAGACCAAATTCTCACAATGCAAACATGACTCAGTAATCCTCTGGCTCATCCTCTTCATCATCTGCACCCTCTGCTCCGACCTCCTCGTAGTCCTTTTCCAGGGCAGCCAGGTCCTCTCGTGCCTCTGAGAACTCACCTTCTTCCATCCCTTCACCGACGTACCAGTGAACGAACGCACGCTTTGCATACATGAGGTCAAACTTATGGTCGATTCGTGAGAACACCTCGGCCACAGCAGTGTTGTTGCTGATCATGCACACGGCACGCTGAACCTTAGCCAAATCTCCTCCAGGAACCACTGTTGGTGGCTGATAGTTGATTCCACACTTAAATCCAGTAGGACACCTTCATGGATTAGGATGAAGCAGTCAATTCCAACCCAAAATAACATATGATGCAATAAGTGGTGATGTTGGTATAAGCTTACCAGTCCACAAATTGCACAGTTCTCTTGGTCTTGATGGTTGCAACAGCGGCATTGACATCCTTAGGCACAACATCTCCTCGGTACATCAGACAACAAGCCATGTATTTTCCATGCCTTGGATCGCATTTGGCCATCATACTGGATGGCTCGAATACTGCATTTGTGATCTCAGGGACAGAGAGCTGTTCATGGTATGCTTTCTCAGCAGAAATAACGGGGGCATAGGAGGACAGCATGAAATGAATTCTGGGATACGGAACAAGATTGGTCTGGAACTCTGTGACATCCACATTAATGGCCCCATCAAACCTCAGAGAGGTAGTCAAGGAGGATATGATCTGAGATATCAGCCGGTTCAAGTTGGTGTAGGTTGGCCGCTCGATATCCAGAGACCTTCTGCAGATATCGTAGATGGCTTCATTGTCTAAAAGAACTGCAACATCAGTGTGCTCGAGCAAGGAATGTGTGGAGAGGACGCTGTTGTATGGTTCCACAACTGCAGTAGATACCTACAACAAAATACCATAGGATTAACCATCTTTCACAGAAAAGAAAAGACAGAATCAATATTTTCACAAGCATCCGCCAACTGGGCCACTAGTACCAACTACACAATATAGAAGCACCAAACAAGGATAGCAACTAAACACCAACTTACCTACCTACCATTGCTCATAAGAATGTATCATTATACAAGGATACTGTATCCATATTCTTCTCAAGGTTCATCACTGAAAGTACATTGCTGGTTAAGGATTTTATGTAGATTCTGGGAAGTTCTTATATTGTTCTTGTGTTCTTGATCAGACTCTATGGCCACAGAAAATGTAAGATAAAATCCTAGTCAGCTTTGTGACAAACTTCAGGAACAAATTGGGACTTAATTTCATTTTCTATTATGAATTCATTAAAATAATTTGATTTATTATGATGCTCCATACTCCATACATAGAAGCACACATTGCGCAATTGGAGCCATTTACACCAGAATGCACTAGTTCCAACCTAATTTCAGGTGCTTTACAGGAAAATTGATCGATTCATAGATGATTCCACCATGAAATGGAGATGTTATCTGATTGCTAACAATACTCTTCTGATAATAGGATTTTTGGGTTCAGCTAGATCAGATAAAAGTTTATATACTAACAGTAAGCCTTCACTTCAAAGTCTCAAAGCATCAGAATAATAATGAAAACGAATCAGAATCAATAACATAGACCTACTTTCCAGAAAAGAGGATCTATCAGACAGTCACCATCAAACTGAAAGTATCAAAGCCTTTGCACAACTTCTTAATACCTGAGGAGAAGGGTATATCGTAAAACCAAGCTTCGACTTCTTCCCATAATCCACAGACAATCGTTCCAAAAGCAAGGAACCCAAACCGGATCCAGTACCACCACCAACAGCATTGAAAACCAAAAACCCTTGCAAGCCAGTACAATTGTCCGCTAGTTTTCTGACACGATCGAGACAGAGATCTACAATTTCCTTCCCAACTGCAGCAGCTCACAAGACCATACAGGGTCAAATCCAAGGTAGGAAAAAGGGACTATTCAAAAGAAAGAAGAGGTGAACATAGCAAACGAAGAACAATATCGATACCTGTATAGTGGCCCCGAGCAAAGTTATTTGCGGCATCCTCCTTCCCAGAGATGAGCTGCTCGGGATGGAAGAGTTGGCGATACGCACCGGTTCTGACTTCGTCGATGACAGTCGGTTCCAGATCTACAAAGATGGCCCTTGGTACATGCTTGCCAGCACCAGTCTCGCTGAAGAAGGTATTGAAGGCATCGGATGCCACCCCTACCGAAGTATCACTGATGGAGACAAGAGATGCGTCAGCCAATAATCACACAAATTGTTCATCAGAGCAACAAAAAGTAGTCTCCTTCGCGACAATTCCTCAAAGACGCGATCAGGAATGTCACACCAGTGAAACATGCAAGCCATGATTTGCTAAATGAATGAGGGCATAACTCATTTAAGGGAGAAAACCATAAAGGTGCGATCTTTGACATGAACTTTCCACGTTACCTTTTTCTAAAGAATAGCATAAATCAGATCTGATATCAAGTTTCAAGTTCATTACGAGATATTGCCAGGTTACAGATATAAATCAGGGCTGATTTCGAATAGGAGATCTTGGATATACAGATGATCATTGTCTTTATCTCGAAGGAAAACCCCCTGGATCTCGACATTCCAAGGGCCAAAATCAGCCTAAAACCACCCCCACGAAGGCGACGAATTAATGACACGAAGAACACAACCGGATCTAAAGAAACGGCATAACAACGACAAGAAAAGACGGATGCGCAATATTGAAAGCGGGGAAGATTACAAAGACCTGGGCATGATGCCATCAGGCTGGATGCCGTGCTCGAGGCAGTAGAGCTCCCAGCAGGCATTCCCCACCTGGATCCCGGCCTGACCGATATGGATGCTTATGATCTCCCTCATCTTCTATTCTCCCTCTCCCTTTCTTTCCGTCTCGATCTGGAGCAGAAGCCCTAAAGATTTGTCGGAGGAGCGAGAGGAAGCGGAAGAAAGAGGGGAGGTTTCGCTTTCCCTTGGGCGGAGGAGGCAACGAGGGGACGCGGCCATTTATTTGGCTCGGGCAGGGCAGAGTGGGACGGACGAGCGGTTCGACCAGATTCGACTGGTTGCTTTGGAGTCCGGGCAACTGGTGGGCCTGCGCGCGCGTCGGGGTCCACTGCTCTGCCATTGGGCGCCTATGTTGGGTCGAAAAGACCGGCATGCCCTCCTCCACCGAGTAGTTTTCCCTCTCTCGCCCTCCTTTGATACGTGTGTTATTCGTTATTTTTACAAAAAAGTCCATGACGTTTGTTAAATGTATCCTCGTGTAAACACATGGATACAAAATTCACAACATTTTGGATAATTATTCAGGCAGCATCATTAAAAAAATTACTGAAATTAATCTTTTATTTTTCTTGACAGTATCTCATGTCAATTTCAATTAACTTTATTTTTCATCATATAATTTTATAAATCTTATTATTACCATAACAATAATAATAATTTGTTCGATGTAATGTGGTATTTGTTATATAATTAATAGATCTCATATTTGTGATATTATATTATTACATAATTAATCTATTCAAGATGTTCGTACTCTTTGGGGTTTAATATTTATTATTATTTTATCATTAAGATACTCCTAATAAGATTTTATTATTGTTTATATAGTTTTTATTGTTTCTAGTAATTTTTTTTTGTTGAGGGAAGAAGTCGTTGACGTTTTGATTAACTTGATATGGTCTGGACTAATATACGTAGAGTTGTTTGATGTGTCACATATAAAAAAATTGAGATCATGAGAGATTTTTTTTTATGCCCAAATTAGTAACTCGAGACATATGAGTGCGAACGCTAGTGGTAAAAAAAAGATCATCCCCTTTTCATTGTGCTGAAGATAAGCTTTTAT